TGACCGGTCATGGATCTTACCCTCGAAAGCATCATGCGTGCATCACAAAAGCTCCTTCTGATCTTTATAAGTCTCGAGACGGTGACCAATCTCCTTCATAACGATACGATGATGAATATGCTTTGATGGCGGCCTCCGGTCGTTCAGGAAAAATTCTTGATTGCGAGTCATCTGTGGCATCTTGCCTCCCACGTCGCCTCCTGCAAGGATGGAGGTGATGCTCGGTACTTTATGGGCACGAAGCAGCACATAGTTCTCCAGCTCGGAGCAGGCGCCTTCTGTATACCAAATGGACTTGATGAACACGATGCACAGATTTTTCGGGTCGAGATCAAACCCGATGTAGCCTTTCGTCCCGCGACCACGAACGGAGTATCGAGAACTTGCATGGTGCCGCGCAACATAGTAATCATGGAGTAGGGAAGGATCGTTGATGTCCTGACATGTAATCTCAAGAGGGAAGGAAAATGATGAGTCTGCGCAACATCGGAAGAGGCACAAGGAACTCACTTTCACCCAGGAATACTTCTTTGTGTCCTTGGTAGCCTCCTTGATATACTTTGTGATCCATTTGTTAGATTTGTACTTCTCCTCGAGCTTCCTCAGTTCCGTTGTGAGGGCTCGGCCCGGCAGGATGTCGCCGACCAGCGTGGCAGTGGAATCGTATCCTCGTTCCTCATCGCTGCACTTGGAGAGGCACCAAAAGAACATGAGCAGAGGCTCAGGGTTCTCCACTCAATCATGTGACTCTGAAACAATCGCACCTGAACAGTCCCATCGCATGAAGCAAACATATCGTTCCTGGATGAAAGCAGTGAAGAGGAAGCAACGATGCTGACGGATGTGGACTTCCATGACGTAGCTGATCATCTGGGCACAGGAATCCCGGCCATCCGGCGGCGAAGTCGTGCTGCATTGTGGCTGGTCCTTCAAGGTCACTGTGAAAGGCTTGCCGCCAAAAGTGAACGGGGCCAGCCTAGGATCTGTGTTGACTTTGATAATCGCAACTGCAGAAGTTCAGGCCGTGTGACCATGGTGCTCTTTGGCTTTGTGTTCCACCTTCTTCTTGAGGTAGTAGGATGCCTCCGGGTAGGGCATACCTGGTTGTGACGTGGAATACAGGATTAGATTGGGCTTAAGGTCGTGCACACCACTTTTGGAGTAGGTGTAGGTGATGGCAAGGAAGAAAGGTAATTTCAGCTCCTGAAGCATCGTGTTGGCAGCCTCAGCCTGAAAGCACATGTGATCAGCAACTACACACAAATCCATGGATTGCATACTCACGATGGGTTCATAGGTCTTCGTTTCTTCTCCCTTCTTGACGGAAGCGTTGGTAAGGATTGACTTGAGTCGATATAGTATCCCGGAAATTGCCTTTGCGAAATCACCAACCAGCTTGGCCCCGAACGCGTGCAGAAGGAAGTCCGGAGCTTCGCGATAGAACTCGTCCATATCCATATTTGCTTGCTTGACTCACAAACCCTCGTGTTCCGGCGTCAGCTCCTGATTCCCCGTGGTCGCTTTGTGCGGTGTCGTCCTCCTAGAGCCGTCGTGTACTGACCCAGTCGCGAATGGCGGAGCGTTGTGCGATGATGGTTTGGCAGTGCTCGGACCTTTCTGACGTTGCCGAGATTTGGGAGCTGTTGGCCCTGGACGAGGTGTAGACTGAGGACGGGATGGTTCACGGGCAGCGGCGATGGGGATCTTGGGGGTACGCTCTAAATGTTCCGGTACGCGGGTAATTCGATGGGTCAGTAAGCTTGGTGTATGTTAATCGAATCATATCGACATACATATGTTGTGCGCGAAGACTCTTGTGGCGAGACGGCTGCGACCTGGGCGAAGGACGGGCGGGAAGTATCACTGTGAGGGCAAGACTAAGAAGACGGCTCAGTCCTTTGGCCTCCGGCTGTGGATGACGATAATGATGAGGATTTCTTATAAAGGGGTCATGTGGGGCTTTTCTACCTGAGACGAGCGTATTAAATCTTTTTCAGAGTCTGCAGCTGAACAAGGTCAAGAAGATTGTGGGCTTCCCGAAAGCTTAGTGTTGCAGACGTGTCACCCTATCCTTACAGAAGAATGTGCTTCTCTGGATGCGCTATGCACCAGAGCTATGTTCTTGAAGTCCGCCTGGACGTTTGACACTCCGGTTTGATCTTTCGTTGTCACAAGCTAGCTAGCTGTGCCGTACTCCACGCACGGGGTACCAGCTTGGAATGAATATTACGAGCTTTCGTGACCTCTTCCTATCCCTCACGGTTCTTATTCGATATTGCCTTTCTATCCAACAGGCCGAGCGAGATGAAAGGAGGAAAGCAAGTGGCCGGGGTCTGCCAACACCCTTGTCACTTTGTGGCGCTTGCAGGCGCCCAGTGCGACTCAAGCCTCACATGGCCCTGACGACGTGGACGATAGCACCTGAAAGAGAGGACCGGGCCGCGCTGAACAAGATATCACGATGGAGTTTGTCTGCAGCGACATCTGAGTTGCAGTTAAAACATTGTCGCCGCGCGGAGTAGTATGAGCTTTCGGGACAAACATACCGATGGTACACATACTGCTACAAGAATCATGGCCAATTGTCTATGAAATAATGCATATGTTATTTCTGGTGTACAATTCAGTGAGATCCCTTTGAAGAAATCGGCCAAGACGGCAGAGCGGAGTGCCGCCGACAACTCGAGTGACGGTCGATGACAAGTGGCTTTGGCGCCCGTACGCGTCTTACACCTGTTCTTGGCCAGAGACCACGATGATCCCGACGCCAGACCTCTCACATCTGACCACTGCGGACTATGAGCACGTTTACAAGCCTGCGGGTGTGTCTTGAACCTCACCCACGTCTCTGAATGACTAGATCTTGCCTTGCCAGA